AGATCCCAGGCCGCGGCCCGCGACACTCCCCGCGGCCCGCGATTTTCAGTTCCTGTCGTCCGCAAAGTCTCTCTCGGCTCGCGGAAGTGATAGTTTGGGAGCATCCCAGGCGTCCCCAGACCCGCTCTCCGCTGCCAGTCCCGCGGCACGCCCTGTTTTCGAAAATTGATTTTTGGGCCGTTTTTCTGTATAAGATACTATTCCCAAATTTACTGAATTATGTAACATACTACTTGTTTTAAAAACAAAAGAAATACATTTATCAACTAAAGTTCAATAAAATAATACTTACCAAGATATTTGCATAAACAACCACCATATTTGACCATAATGATTTTGGACATTAATTACATTGATTTTTTTAATTTAAATTTCAAGTGATTCGGCGCCACTTTTCAAAAATATTTAAACAAGTTACTAATAAAGGTATAAATGAAATTTTTAAGTGGAAAGTTAGTTACAATTTCAGATAAATACAAATCTTTTTATATATATGTATTTTAAGATTTTTAACGTTTTTCGAAAAACATAATTTGCTTGTTGTATAAATTTTAAGATTTTCATCCTTCTTGGATTGGATTTACTGAAAACAAATCGTGAGTTTAAAAGATGGTAATTGATAGATTGATTTGATAAGTCTACATAAATAGTTTTTTGTGAGTTATTCCATAGTGTATTTAAGATTTTAACCTTTTTGAAAAACTAAAGTTGATAGGTGTATATATTTTAAGATATACTCAACCCTTTCGTTTCGGATTTTGTGAAAGTAATTCGTGAATTTATATGGTTGTAATTATCAAATTGAGTTGATAAGTATAAATTAATATATTATTGTCATTTATATATTAGATATTAATATTTTTAACATTGTTAAAAAACATAATTTGATTGATATAAATATTATACGATTTTCAATTTGTATTTGGTTTGCACGAATTTATGGGCTTTGTTTTCGAGCATAATTATATATGGTTAGAATGTAATACAATTCTACATATGTTGGGACTTCTGTTTATCCGATTTTTTTTAGATGCGGTGATAATCATGCGATTTTGTTGGGTGATAATTTTAACCACAAATTTGTGTTGTAGCACAAATTGTTTTTATTGACCGAGTACCGAAACGAGCGATTCGTTCCCCGGGTCGATCTCACGAGGAAGGCGGTTCGGAATTTAGCTTTGGTATTGATAACACATAAAAGGAAAATAAATCCTAAACACACTAATCAAATAGGGGAGTTGAGCAAATTACCAACTAACAAATAATAAAAATCAATAATCTACCTAGAAATATAAACGAAACAAGGATAAAGAAGCTAGGGAGTCGTGGATAATTAATTCAAGTTCTATTTGCACACCGGGACATTAATCATTCTATTCTAGATTGACGCCCTCGCTTAAGCATCTAGCGGTTCGCTCCCAATAACTCTTCGTAACAAGGGATTGAACATAGACGAACAAACTCGAGCATACGACACAGGCCAAGTATCCCAATCACAATACTTATTCGTAACAAGGGATGAGTCATCGACAAATACGTATTTCAATCCAAAACCTATAAACTATTCAATTAGGAAATCATCTACCTCATGCGAGCCTAAGTCAACGACTTCTCCCCTTTCGATTCTAAAAATCGCTAATTAAATTAGAAGAGAGTTAATCAACTAACCATTTAGAATCAACAAAACCCTAATTCGACTAATGAACATTCAACCGTTTCCAATTGCAAGATCGAAGTGTCACTCTTCGATTATATCAATCAATCAAACAAGATCTCATCGATTCCTAATCAAATTAACTCGCACAAGAATAAACAAATCAAGCCCGACAAATACACGTTTAATGAGAACAATCATCCCCTATCCCTAGCAGAAGGAATTAACTACGTAAAATAAATTAAACACAATAAATCATTTCTCCAAATTCAAACAAGAAGAAAAACTTACAATTAATCTCAATCCAAGTGTTGAAGCCAAAATACAAGCTTAATTTCTAAAATGGAAAAGTAAGAAAAAAGAAAGAAAAATAGAGAAGAAAGATGGAGAAGAGGAGAAGAGAAGAAGAAGAGGGGAAGGAGAAAGAAAGAAAAGAAGAAGAAAAATGGAGAAAAGAAGGATAAGAGAAGAAGAATATGAAGGAAAATGAAGGGGGGAGGTGATTTTCGGACCTAGGGTTCCTCCCCCTTCAAGTTGGAAGTGAAAGAATGCAGAAGAAAACGAGTTTTCGGGGTTCTTATACCATTCTGGGACTTGCAGGGGGCCTTAGCGCCGCTAACCCCCTTAGCGGCGCTGAAAAATGAAAGCTGTTAGCCTCTGGCATCGTTAGCATGCCATAACGCCGCTAGGAAACCAGGCTTAGCGCCACTAAGGGGGCCTTAGCGCCGCTATGGCCTGGGCAGCGCGACTTTGCCTTTCGGGCTCGTTTGGACTCGTCCAAACTCGGAATTGAGTTTCGTTTTTTCCTACGCGTCGCTAACGAACCCCTCTATTCAATGATGCTTGAAATGCCAAATTATTCTTCAAATACAATTCTCTCAAAGCTTATGACCAGCACACCAAAGACACACCAAAGACGTGCTTCGTGCGACTTCGCGCTTTGGGCCCGTTTGGACTCGTCCAAGCTCAAAATTGAGCTCCGCTTCTTCCTATATATCGCCAACGAACCCGTCTATGCAACCATGATTGTCTGGCCTGTTTTCGAGCTAAATTTATTCCTTACGGACTTCTGACCTGCACACAAAAAACAAGAAGAAAAATGGGAAAACCATACGAAAAACACAAAATGTATTGAGTTTTACCAATAAAAAGACAAACACATTATTTTTTTTTTTTTACCTAGAGTCCCTTTCGTTCGATGATTCTTACTTAAATACCCTCACAAAATATCTTCCTCCTTATCAGACATTCAGACTCCCGTCTCCGCCGAAGCTGTGCCCCTAAATTGACAAAGAAAAAACCTAATCGCCACTTCAAAAACCTCCGGCCAACAATCCCAGCACAAAAAAACATGGTCATCCTTAAGCTGGAGCTTCTGAAAAAGCGGCAGAGACTCGCAGAGGACGAGAAGAAATGCGAGGCCGAGGCCAAATCCCTCCGCCGCCAGAAGCAATCCCACCTCGATCAGCTTCAGAACGACCCTTCGTCGTCCTTCTCCAACCCTATCTCCAGGCCGGAAATCACCAAATCAAAGCCCGAACCCTCCTCCAGATCCCCGGCCGAGGAGGAGAAAGGCACGCTGTAAAGTTTCTGTTTCCTTGTCCTGAGTTTTTACGTTTTATATTTCCTCCATTTTTTTTTTCATGTTTACAAAATGGATAGAAGATAAGTGGTGAATTTGCGATCTAAAGTGTGGTCTGTGTGCGTAGGTTATTGTAACGTTGGATGATAGAATTTGGTCTGTGTGCATAGGTTATTGTAACATTGGATGATATAATTTGAAATTGTTTTATGAATTTGCAAGGTCATGCAAGAAATCTAGATTTTGGAGTGGGGCAAGATTTGAAAGTTAATTGTAAACGAAGGTCAAATAAGTATAATTTGAAATCGTAGGCGATTTGCGATTCAGCGCGCACAGGTTTGCTTGAATCACACACACATTTGATTACAGGGATTATTTATCAGTAGGCGTAGGCATGGATCAGGACCAGCAATGGACGACCAATTACTTGAATGCATCACTCGATCCCAGACAACAAACTAGAACCTTCGATGAGGCATCGCCTCAGCAACCGTCCCTTCAACCAGGTGATTTATTTAAATCGTTTTCAGAAATCGCAAGCGTTTGATGTTATTTTTCTTTCTAGGGATGGAATTTGTTGTTGTTGTTGTTGTTGTATGAGTGGAATTCCCCCGTTTATGAATCCAAAAGAGAAATCTTGAATGGATGTAATTTAATGGAATTTTGAGAATTGTAGGATAACCGAGAGCAAGTTTTGATGAAAATATGCATTTTTTGTTTTCATTTTTGGTATGCTGCTGTAAACTTTGCTTCGGTTATGATATTGATCTTATAAATTGAAGACTGATGCCAAGTTTGCTGTGCAACAATGTCAATTTTTGACTAAAGGTGACAGCTTTAATTGCTAAATGACGTGTAACAGCAGCATAACTGGTTTATTGATATCTGCATATTTTCTAGAGGATCAGTGATGTTTCTTTTTTTAGTATGACTTCAATGTTGGCTGATAGCCAGTGGCCACTGTCTCGATGATCTAGACACCGCAACAAATTATGTGCTTTCTTTCCTTTTATGTTATTTATTGCAGAATGAGATATCGAACTGATTTTACATTACCTTTTGAATTTCTGCAAAGGTTATGGTGCTGATCTTGCTGAAGCTGCAGCACAGAAGTTAGATTCACTTGAATCGCGGCTGATATCCTTGATGATGCTGTGATTTAATTATAGAATTTACCAATTTCTTCTTACATAATTTACTATTCCTACGCGTTACATATAGTCCAGTCGAGTTCCTTTTAGCTTAGCCATTGTTAGATTAACACGCATTCACGTAGCACCAGTTTCGCTAGAGCAATTTATCAGGAAACACTGGAATGAGGATGAGGAAGGCTTTGAGCATTCCATTGTTGAGAGCAAGGAGAAGGTGCACTCAAAAATACATCAAAGCTTTTATACAGTTTGAAGATAAGATCCACCTTTTTGAATAATATGTTCTTACTTTATTAAAAACCTACTTAAAAAGTGTACTGAGCTGCAGTGTTGACAATATTTCTTGTCTCAAATCCTTGTTTCGCGTTTCTTTCTGAGGTAATATGGACTTAATGAAGAGATCTAGTCTTGCTTAAAGCTTAGAGCTTTAGATACTTTTTTTCTCTGCTAAATAACTAACTGGGTGTTAAATTAGATGAACTTACGTTTCTGCTCAGCTTGACTGGCATTGATAATTTGGGGACATGTAAGATAGATGAAGCTGGAAAGGGTTGATTACATGTTAATATATCACCTAATTCTGTTATTCTATTAGGAAACTGTGAAAGGACTACTTCTAGCATTGCTTGACGATCCTAGTGAGAAGATCCGTACTGCAGCAAGTGTGGCTGTATCGGCGATTGCGCTTTATGATTGGCCAAAAGATTGGCCTGAATTATTGCCTTTTCTTTTAGATTTAATTTATGACCAGAGTGAACTGAATGGTGGTGAGTATTTAATATGTCTTTATAATATGCTAACCATTTCTTGAAAGGAAAGGGAAACTTACTTTTTTTTTTTAATGCAGTGCATGGAGCTTTAGTATGCTTGTCTCTTCTTTCCTCGGACATGGATGACGAGATGGTGCCCCAAATTGTCCCATATTTATTCCGATTCTTGCACAGGATTGTGTCGTCTTCTCAGGTTAACCTTGTCCATTACTTTGAATGTTGTATTTATGATGTTGATTGCATTAAGAAGAAGACAAAAATGTTTAAATGTTTAAATGTTTTAGGAAAAGAGGTAATTAGGGCTGGCAATGGAAATGGACACCGACTTACCTAAAACACACACACATATATATGTATATATATTTTTTATGGGTATTTATAAATAGTTATGTTTATTTAGCTTCTACAAAAGCATATGTGACAAATTTTAATATACAAGGAAATTCAAGAGTTCCTTTTTGCTTTCCACATAGTTTTTTTCTTTCATTCTACTTTTTATTTTTACTTTTTACTTCATGTGTTTATTATCTTCTGTTTCTTTCTTACAAATCCACTGCTTGAATGTCCCTGGAGTCCATTAATGTTGTGATACAGAGGGTACTCTTCAATCAACTTCTCATCTATCTGTGGATTCAAATGTCCAGATCTATGGCAAAAGTCTGATGTCTGAAGCTCTGTCAGTACTTTATAATTGTACTTCAAGGATTGGGGCTATGAGTGGTGTTTACAAGGTATTCACTTAGCCCAGCCAATTGATCAAATGCACATAACTTATTGGGAAAAAACGATACTTACTTGTTTTGTGGTAAGTAGATAGAAACAACCCCCCTAATGTTCCGAATGCTCAAACCTTGGATGGAAAAATTCTCGTCAATCTTGTTAGACCCGGTGCCATCTCAAGATCGTGATGATTGGAGCATGAGGAAGAAGGTATTTTTTTTTTCCTACTTCCTTTTTTTCTGTCAATTTTCTTGTTGATTTCTTTTTGCAGAATGCTGACTTCTACCAATTCACTTTGCCGACTGTCCAGGTGTTAAAGTGTTTGAATCAGTTCATGCAGATCTTTCCCAACATTACAGAAATTCATTTTGCAGAAACTGAGTTTGCAGGTATTGTAGATCAAGTGTTCTGGTATAGTTTCTAGTACCCTGGTTATGATGGTACATTGTTTCTTTTACTTTTTTTCTTTTCTTTTTTTCTTTTTCGCCCATCCATTTGTATTTATTCTCATAGTTTCTCACTCTGGCGGTATTTCAGTATATCTGCAGCCATTGTGGGGAACATTTATATCAATGTTGGAAGTTTATGAGTGCTCACCGATTGAAGGCGTTGAATATTATGATGATGATCGGTATGCTTCTTCTTCTGATGGTGCTGAGGATAGTCTCGAGTCCCTTGTTAACCAGGTTAGTACACTCTTACTTGTTCTCTGAAGTTTGGTCAAGGAGAAGTAGCATCAAATAAAACTTCATGAGTAAACTGTGCACTGGTGCTGACTTCTTACAGCTGACTTCTTACAGTGAAATGTTTTGTTTCTTTTATCTGGCTGGAACATATCTTTCCTGAAATTGTGTGTGGAACGTGTGCGGTGTGTATGTGTTAAATGCGTGTGGTATGTGTTCTGTGTATAGCATGTCATGTCAGCTTGAAAATGCATTGCATGTTTGTGAATGCATGGGAAGCGTGTGTAGCATGTGCTTGTATTGTGTTTGTGGACTTTGATGACAATTAAAGATCTTAATAGGGAATTGTTCATCTTTTGGTTGGGTGATTGTGGAATAATTGCAATTTTGTGTTTGACATGCAATTCCTGGTCTTCGGGGGTGCAGTTATTTGAACTTTTATCGACTGCTACTGGAAGCCCGAGGTTTGTGAAGGTATGTTGCAAAGCCATCTCCCTATTGTCTTGCTCTGGATTCCACTTTCGGATTTTTTGGAAGTCTTTATTTTCTCGTGTAGGTTGTTATGAACAAATTCAATTTATATGGGTTAGTCTACTACACTATTGGTTTCCTTCAAATGACGGACAAACAGGTACTCCCCCTCCACCCCCCTCTCTCTCTCTAAGTTTATATCCAGATGTATATATGTGCTCGGCTGGGCCCAATTGGACTGTAACATTTTCTTTTGTTTGAGTGTTTCCACCTGTTTTTCTTAGATATTTGAGTTTTGAAACTTTAGGTGAGCGATTTTGTATTAAAGTTTCAACTTGCTTTTCTAGTTAGTCTGCTGCTAGCTACATATGCAAGATTTATTTTTACTGTCCAAAGATAGTAATTGTGAGATTACTTTTTATAGGAGCAACTCGAGTCAATTTCTCCTTTCTTTTCTCTGTACTTCTCATCATCTCTTGTTTGTATGACATGGATGTAGGTTGAATCATGGTTACAAGATGCTAACAAGTATGTTGCTGAAGAGGATAACAATACTTACAGTTGTCGTGTATCCGGTAAATAATTTCTGGAATTGAAAATACTTTGTTCCTTAATTTCTGCTAATGGCAGAACGTTTTCCCTCCGAGCAGGCAAGCTTATAGAGTAAATCATGGTGGTATGCTGGATACTACTAAATTTATTTCTGATCTCGCGATTAATTTTGTTCGCCAAAGATGATTTTCTGTTCTAACATGCCTTTATGACCGCATGAGCGTTCTTGTTTTTGTTTTACCTGTNGTCATTTAAAAATATCTATTTTTTCACTTGTGTGTATGTGGTGGGCATTCTATACGAAGACTTATGCATTGAAAACCTATGCAATGAGACTTGCTGTGGAGTAAATATGTGTGTTGCAAAGTCTTTCCAGTAATATGTAGATTAATTTGTTGTTTTCCTGCTTGTCATCATACCCACTACATTCTTGTATAAACCCAGAGATTACATCTCATGGATTTTTCTTTTAAAAATTATTTTTCTACCTTGTGGATTTTTTGTACCTTGCAGCTGCACTTCTGCTGGAAGATGTAATATCTAACTGCGGGACCGAAGGCATAAAAGCAGTGATCGAGTCTGTAATAACGCGAATAAATGAGTCCCAACAGGCGAAAGATACTGGCTCTCCTGGTTGGTGGAAAGTAAGTCGAACAAATTCATGACTTGATTTACTGCAGAAAAATGTTGTATGGACATAGTAACTTGCTAAACCGGTTTGTCACTTTATGTTTTTTCCTTTAAAATCATTTAACTTGTCAACGTGCTTGCAGTTAAGGGAGGCTGCCCTGTATGCTTTGGCTGCTTTGGCTTCTGAACAATTGTTGCTTGATGAAGTAGAGGTTGGCCCTTGCCCCTTTGACATTCTTTTTTTTTTTTTTTATCTATCTCTATTCTGTATAATGCTGGGTTAATAGTTCGTTTAATGACTATGTTCTGATTTCTTAGGTTTCTGGTTCCACTGTTGGAGCTATGCTACAGAAAATTTTAATTGAGGACATGGCAGCAGGTGAGACGAGCACTATCAGATGTATTGAGAATTCTTTTCCTGCTGGTTCAATCTGTATTTTGTTTTGTTTTTGTTTTTTTTTTAATTATAAAGATCCCTGTTTATTTGCAGGCTTCCATGGCTACCCCTTTCTTCGTGCCCGCTTATTTTCGTCTGTTGCAAGATTTTCTTCCATGGTAATTAGTGAAAACTGAAAACCTCCCTTTTCCTCTGCCTGCCTTCATTATCCTAAACACAGCTCTTTCATCTTCCTGCGAGATCTCATTTGGTTTTAATTATGTGGACAGATGAACAACCAAGTAAGAGATAACTTCGTACGTGCTGCTGTTGAGACAGTGGGAATGGATGTGTAAGATCTTGGGTTTTTTGGGTTCTTAAACTCCCCAACATGATGTCACTCATTATTCCTTCTTTTACAGACCTCGACTAGTTAAATTTGGTGCTTGTCGAGCTTTATCTCAGCTTTTATCAGATGCCACCACCGGATGTGTTCAACATAGAGCGGTGGACTTATTATTGTCACTTATAGATCTTCTAAAAAATGTAAAGTGAAATGTACCTGGTGTGTGTTTTGTTTCCCTGGTTTCCAGATTTGTTTAATATTTAATTATATATGTTTTTATTTTCTTTGCAGGCCTCTGATGGAACTATGCATTTAGTACTTGAAACTCTGCAAGCAGCTGTGGCAGCTTGTTAGTGCAATTAAACTTCAAGTTTGATGTTCAGATAGTTTCATGTTTTATTGTTTCAGTTTGTTTTGGGGATCCGACACTCAACCAGGAGAAGCTCACTTTGTGTATTTTCACTTACAGGTCATGAAGCTGCAGCCTCAATAGAGCCAACGTTATCTAGTACCGTGCTCGACACGTGGGCTTCTCATGTTTGTGACCCGTTCATCACTATAGATGCTCTAAAAGTTTTGGAGGTAACTTTGAGTTATATATATATATATATACACTTTTATTCGTTTACCCATTTCCCATTGTTGGAACTTGGATTATGTGGGGCATGTCAATGTATTCCGTATCTGTCTCTGCTGGAAATTAGCATATTTCTTGAAGATGCATTTGACTCCCCAAAAACCTTACAATTGTTTTAGTTGTCTGTAAATCATTGCTGACAATAGGTTTTGCAACCCTGAGTGCTTTTCAAAAGGTCAACCATGCTGTTTTTGGACATTTTCTCTGATTATTTGGAAACATCCTTTGTATGCCTTCTGCAGAACAATATCAAATGTTTCTTATTTGAAATTTCTCATGATTGATAGTTTAAGTTAACGTGAGCTGAAATTTGTAACTTGTGGTGTTCTTTAAGAGATTCTTTACTGCCTTGTGTTTTGCACCTTTTCAGGCCATAATAAAGGTCAGTGGGTGTACTCGTTCGCTGGTTTTCAAAGCTTCCCCCTACATCGAGCCAATCCTAAATAGTGTATGCAAAGCTTTCCCTATCACTAATAATCGAAGGAAAATTATTAAACAATAGATATTTGTATTTTGTCATTTTCACATGATACTGTTTACATTTTTCAGCCTCAACAAGAACGCGATGGTTTAGTTGCAGGTTCTTTAGATCTTGTCACAATGCTGATAAAGGTAACAAGCGTTTTTACATTATGATTGGTGTTTGCATATTATGATTTGTATAGTGCTTACGACTGCAACATATTATTTCGCAGAACGCCCCTGTTGAAGTGGTAAAAGCACTCTTTCAAGTTTCATTTCATCCTGTCGTGATAATAGTTCTCCAGAGTACTGACTATGGAAAAATGAAGGTTAATTTTTATAGAGTACTGACTATGGAAAAATGAAGGTTAATTTTTATATTCACTTACCTTAAAACATGTAATTAGCTTCTATATTAAAATATGAAATTAACAGTGGGATGATACATGTATAACAGAATGCAACCCAGTGCCTAGCTGCACTTGTGTCTGTTTGGAAACAAGATATGCTTTCTTGGTCTGGTGATCCTGGTTCCACGATGAGAAGTTTGCTGGATGTAGCTTGGAGGTGATGTGCTCATTTTTGTTAGTGTGTATGGCCCTTTTGTTTAAATCACTATATTGTCCTGTGGTATTGAGATTTCACATCTGCTTACAACATGAAGCTCTTGTTTGTGGTAGCAGATTGTACAATGTTAAGAAGATGTTGTAGATGCATTAATTCTGCAGAAACTAAATATGTTTTGTCTCATTCAAGAAAAAGAAGGATAGTTGTGATAAGTGGTACAAAAATTCCAATATCCCTAAGGTCTGTGCTTGTTGTACAAGCTAACACCACTTTAATGATGCAATATGTTGAATATAAACCAATATCCTGGGGTGATTTGTAGTTTTAAAAGATAGCCATGTGTCTTTTCTTTCTTTATTTCTCTCTTTTCACATTTAGAAAAAAAAAAAAANACAATGCTAAAACTTCAAGGGTACTGTACGTTGTCACCCAAATATAGTTTTCCATCTTGACGAGATGTCAGTTACTCATATGTAATTTGATTCTTTATGCATGACTCTGAGGTATGTTTATGCATTGTGCTATATATTTTCTAGTAATAAATGTCCTCAGCCCCTAACATAAATGCGAAATGAGTAATATTTCTGTGAGTCACACACTCACACCATGATCACAATTTGGTTATATTGTTGTGCAGGCTTCTAGACCCTGAACTAGAAACTTCCGGATCGCTTTTTGTCGGCAGCTACATTCTACAGCTTATTTTACATTTGCCTTCACAAATGGCGCAGCACATCAGGGACCTTGTGACTGCACTTGTCAGACGCATGCAGTGTTCACAAATTGCGGGACTGAAATGTTCATTGCTACTAATTTTTGCTAGATTGGTCAGATTTTCTTATAAAAACGTTTTCCAAAGTAGGAATTTGTTTTTTTTTTTTTCTTTTATAAATTATAGATAGTTCAAGTTATTTTCCCTGATGCAGGTCCACATGAGTGTCCCACATGTTGAACAATTTGTTGACTTGCTCGTCTCTATCCCTGCCGAAGGTCATCTAAACTCGTTTTCTTATGTAATGTCTGAATGGACCCAACAACAAGGCAAGTCCTCATGTTAATTAGACTTTTGTTTATTTGTGTGAAATACATTACTTCACAAAGTAATAATATTCTTTATTCATGTTTCTTCTTTCATTTTCCTTTTCGTTTTTTCAATATAAACATCACTTTATCTAGAGAATTTGTTAATCCGTCGATTTGGTTGTTTTGCTTATTACATCCAGGGGAAATTCAAGGAGCCTACCAAATTAAAGTGACAACTACTGCTTTGGCTTTGTTGCTTTTGACTCGACATGTTGAATTGTGGAACGTTAATGTTAAAGGCCATCTTATCAAGGTTAGATTTTACTCCTTTTACATCTGGCACTTATTTTGCATTCTCAAAAAGCTCACTCCATCGTATATATTTTTTATAGTCTGACACGGGCATAACGACTCGCTCCAGAGCCAAGACATTACCGGATCAATGGACAGTTGTGCCACTTCCTGCGAAGGTATTGGTTTATGCATGGTCTTTTCATATTAATTTGAAAGTGAAAAATGGTATGTAATTGATTTTTTTTTCTTTGATTTCTTATTAAAGTTGTAGTTTTAATTTAACATTCTTACGTGCACAATAGATTCTGGCTATACTAGAGGACACTTTACTAGAAATCCAAGAACAAGTAGATGGGGATAATGAGGTAGTTTGCCATAACTTAAATTCACATTTCCCACTATCACATCCATGACTGTGAAGCTGGTTTTTGATAATCTCAGCAAAATTTATTTTGGCAGGAGGATAGCGATAGCGACTGGGACGAAGCTGAGAGTGAAGTTGAGAGTGAAGATGATGATTTCTTATCTTCTTCTGCTGAATCCGCATTACATGTTAGACCTACTTATGAATATCTTGATGCCATGGCAAAGGCTTTTAATGAGGTTTGACTAGCTGCCTGCCAAGATTTCCAGTCTTAGGGTGATTAAAATACTAGAGTTACCCCCAACATTTAGTCATATCGCGGAAAATTCAAATTCCTCTGAAGGCTAAATTAGTAAAAATTGGTACAAATTTTGTAATGCATTAAATCGATACACTTCTTATTTTATAATTTGTGAAATAGGAACAAGTTTTAAGGGGGGGCATTCTTTCAATTGGACATAGAAATTTGTTGCAATTAGAATGAAACTCACTGTGTTTGATTCTTCAATTATCCGATTACCCAATTTTTCATTCTTCTGAGTTGAATTTGGTTCCATTGACTTATTAAGGACCAAGAAGATGACTTTGAAGATGAACTTCGTAGTGGTGTGGATCCTCTAAATGAGGTAAACCTTATATTTGATTGCTAACTGCTGCCCACAACTTGCCCCGAATATTTAGTTTATTCACTTTTCTTTTAACATCTATTATGCAGATCAGTTTAGTGAACATTCTTTTCGAATCCCTGGAAAAATTCTCAGAGGGCGACGAACCATGTTTTGAACATCTATTTCAGGTCTAGTTGCATTCTATCAAGTTTGTCGATCATAAATTTTACCCAGATTTTGACACCAGTAACTCTTAAGAATCTGGAGTCCCATTTGAATCTTGATTTCTCGAATGCAGAGTATCACAATGCCTCACCAAGAAGCTATGGAATTGGTTTAAAGATGAGGGGCAGTGTGATTTGTTTAGTGCAAAGATTGCCGATCTTTGTAAGTGCCAGTACATTACACATCTTTTTCTTTTGTTTCAATCGATATGTTTGATTGTGTAAACTATGAAGATAGTGTTAGAGAAGGGTGGAAACAGGTTATGTTTTTTGTTTTGCCAATTCAAAACAACGCGAGTGTTTGTGAGCATTTGTAATTTTCTAAGAAATAGTGGAGTTGTTTATTATTATTATTATTCGATGGAGGTTTCCAGTGTATTAGATAGACCTATATTATTTCTTTCCTTTACAAATAATTGTTGTTTATATATAGAGGAAATAGATATTTTTACCTTAAGAAAGAACAAGTTTTACACACCGCAAAATAAAAATGTTAACCTTTTCACCTCATAAAATGCAAAACAAATTATACGATAAGCCATGTGACAAGCAGGCGAAGATAATTGATAAAACGAGAAATAACTATGCGATATGCAATGCGAATTACGGATGAAGGTAATTGACAAAGTTTGGAATAGTTATGTGATCAACTTGGCGCGAACGTAATTGATAAAGTGCGAAATAATTATGAGATAAACTATGCGATAATTGATACGAAAAGTTACGTGGCAGTGCGAGAGCATTATGCGGAACAACTATGTGACATATAGTCGAATACAATTGATAAAGTGCGAAATGTTTATGAAAAATCATATACGACAGACATGCGAGGATAATTGATGAAGTGCAAAAATATTTATGCGAAAAAGATAAGCGACTGACAGGCGAAGATAGCTGATAGAGTGCGAAATATATATGCAAAAAGTTATGTGAGGGACAAACGAAGATGATTGATAAAGTGCGAAAACATGATGCGACAAACCGGCAAACATAATTGGTAAATGGCGAAACAAGTATGCCACAATCAGTCGAAGATAATTTATGCAAAAAGCTAGGCCACTGACAAACGAAGATAATTGATAAAGTGCGAAATAGTTATCCTTTGGAGAAACTATCAGAGCTGGTTTCCGACGAAAAAGAAATGAGTTTTCAAGATGTTGTGGTGTCTACTGCTGCTTCTGCGGTTCGAGATTGGGATGATGATAGAGAATGCCTTTTCCCAGCAAGGAAGAATAGGTTAATTTTCTTTATCTTAGAAAGTATAGGTGCTGGAATCAGACCCGCTATTAATGTGGGTATCTCCGGTCTCTGATACAGGCTGTTTAGAGTTTGCTAAACGCTTTTGGGCTTTTCTCATTTTTGTTACGTTTTTTGTTGTAATTTTGCCTATCTTTTTTCCCCGTTCTAGGTGGTTTATTTGGTTTTAGTTCTTTGTGTAGTTTATTGCGTGTTTTACTTTATTTTAGCTTTTTTTTTGTGTTTTCGTTTGTGTTTCTATGTTTTCTTCGTGTTCTTGTTATTTCTGGTGTGCAGGTCGGGAATTTTGGGTAGATAGGATTTGAAGAATAAATTGGTCGTTCAATCATAAATGACTAGATGGGTTCGTTGGCGACGAGTAGGAAAAAGCGGAACTTAATTCCGAGTTCGAACGAGCTTAAACGAGCCCAAAATGCAAAGTCGCGAGTAGCCGCCTCACACCTCGCCTGCCAAACCCGTGGCCCGCGAGATATTCGGCGGCCCGCGCAAGTAACAGATGCCAGCAGATCCCAGGCTGCGGCCCGCGACACTCCCCGCGGCCCGCGATTTTCAGTTCCTGTCGTCCGCAAAGTCTCTCTCGGCTCGCGGAAGTGATAGTTTGGGAGCATCCCAGGCGTCCCCAGACCCGCTCTCCGCTGCCAGTCCCGCGGCACGCCCTGTTTTCGAAAATTGATTTTTGGGCCGTTTTTCTGTATAAGATACTATTCCCAAATTTACTGAATTATGTAACATACTACTTGTTTTAAAAACAAAAGAAATACATTTATCAACTAAAGTTCAATAAAATAATACTTACCAAAATATTTGCATAAACAACCACCATATTTGACCATAATGATTTTGGACATTAATTACATTGATTTTTTTAATTTAAATTTCAAGTGATTCGGCGCCACTTTTCAAAAATATTTAAACAAGTTACTAATAAAGGTATAAATGAAATTTTTAAGTGGAAAGTTAGTTACAATTTCAGATAAATACAAATCTTTTTATATATATGTATTTTAAGATTTTTAACGTTTTTCGAAAAACATAATTTGCTTGTTGTATAAATTTTAAGATTTTCATCCTTCTTGGATTGGATTTACTGAAAACAAATCGTGAGTTTAAAAGATGGTAATTGATAGATTGATTTGATAAGTCTACATAAATAGTTTTTTGTGAGTTATTCCATAGTGTATTTAAGATTTTAACCTTTTTGAAAAACTAAAGTTGATAGGTGTATATATTTTAAGATATACTCAACCCTTTCGTTTCGGATTTTGTGAAAGTAATTCGTGAATTTATATGGTTGTAATTATCAAATTGAGTTGATAAGTATAAATTAATATATTATTGTCATTTATATATTAGATATTAATATTTTTAACATTGTTAAAAAACATAATTTGATTGATATAAATATTATACGATTTTCAATTTGTATTTGGTTTGCACGAATTTATGGGCTTTGTTTTCGAGCATAATTATATATGGTTAGAATGTAATACAATTCTACATATGTTGGGACGTCTGTTTATCCGATTTTTTTTAGATGCGGTGATAATCATGCGATTTTGTTGGGTGGTAATTTTAACCACAAATTTGTGTTATAGCACAAATTGTTTTTATTTACCGAGTACCGAAACGAGCGATTCGTTCCCCGGGTCGATCTCACGAGGAAGGCGGTTCGGAATTTAGCTTTGGTATTGATAACACATAAAAGGAAAATAAATCCTAAACACACTAATCAAATAGGGGAGTTGAGCAAATTACCAACTAACAAATAATAAAAATCAATAATCTACCTAGAAATATAAACGAAACAAGGATAAAGAAGCTAGGGAGTCGTGGATAATTAATTCAAGTTCTATTTGCACACCGGGACATTAATCATTCTATTCTAGATTGACGCCCTCGCTTAAGCATCTAGCGGTTCGCTCCCAATAACTCTTCGTAACAAGGGATTGAACATAGACGAACAAACTCGAGCATACGACACAGGCCAAGTATCCCAATCCCAATAACTATTCGTAACAAGGGACGAGTCATCGACAAATACGTATTTCAATCCAAAACCTATAAACTATTCAATTACGAAATCATCTACCTCATGCGAGCCTAAGTCAACGACTTCTCCCCTTTCGATTCTAAAAATCGCTAATTAAATTAGAAGAGAGTTAATCAACTAACCATTTAGAATCAACAAAACCCTAACTCGACTAATGAACATTCAACCGTTTCCAATTGCAAGATCGAAGTGTCACTCTTCGATTATATCAATCAATCAAACAAGATCTCATCGATTCCTAATCAAATTAACTCGCACAAGAATAAACAAATCAAGCCCGACAAATACACGTTTAACGAGAACAATCATCCCCTATCCCTAGCAGAAGGAATTAACTACGTAAAATAAATTAAACACAATAAATCATTTCTCCAAATTCAAACAAGAAGAAAAACTTACAATTAATCTCAATCCAAGTGTTGAAGCCAAAATACAAGCTTAATTTCTAAAATGGAAAAGAAAGAAAAAAGAAAGAAAAATAGAGAAGAAAGATGGAGAAGAGGAGAAGAGAAGAAGAAGAAGGGAAGGAGAAAGAAAGAAAAGAAGAAGAAAAATGGAGAAAAGAAGGATAAGAGAAGAAGAATATGAAGGAAAATGAAGGCGGGTGGTGATTTTCGGACCTAGGGTTCCTCCCCCTTCAAGTTGGAAGTGAAAGAATGCAGAAGAAAACGAGTTTTCGGGGTTCTTATACCAAATTATCCAATGTAAACCGAGCTGCTCGAATTCGAAGAGCTCGAGCTTCTTTCGGATTTTGAGGTAAGGCTCCAGTTTCCAAGTATGTCATAATCGGTGTCATCCAAGTCGGTGATTTCGGTAACTCGGTATTTATGACTTCAGCTGGAGAAATAGAAGGCATTTCTTGATGACCGACTTGAACATACTCAACGTCTTCCATTCCACTACTTGATGCAAGTTTAGAAAGAGCGTCAGCTGGAATGTTTTGTGAACGAGGAATGTGCTCCAACTGGATATTAAATCGAGACATCTTCTGTTTAACAAGCATTAAATATGGTAGCAACCGGGGTTCCTTAACTTCAAAATCTCCATGGACTTGGTTTACCAGCAATTGTGAATCTGAGAATACTTTTAGCTTATTTATATTCATGGATTCCGCGAAACTTAATCCGGACAGTAAGGCCTCGTATTCAGCTTCGTTATTTGTTGCCGAAAACAAAAATTTGACCGAATGACAAAACATCTTGTTTTGAGGATCTATGAGGACGATTCCTCCTCCAGCTCGATGTTGAGTCAGTGAACCATCAACATATAAAGTCCAAGATTGATCATCATTAATCGTCTCGATTGCAGGAGTAAACTCGGCAATAAAATCAGATAAAGCTTGGGCTTTTATTGCAGTTTGCGTTTTATAATGAATATCATACTGACCGAGTTCAATAGCCCATTTAATCAGTCTTCCCGATGTGTCTTGTCTATGTAAGATCGTCTTCAAAGGATAGGAAGTAAGTACCGTTATTGAATGCTCTTGAAAATAAGGACGTAATTTCCGAGCTGCGATAACAAGTGCATATGCTAATTTCTCCATCGGCGGATATCGCAACTCAGCTTCATGTAAAGCTTTACTGATGCAGTAAACTGGATATTGTTGATGTCCTTCTTCTCGGATAAGAACTGCGCTGATAGCAGATTCACTTTCTAACATGTCACATCATCCAAAACCTCATTCTTACTCCTACACTCAAAACCTCCAATAACAATAAACCTCATAAACCTTTATTTTATGGGTCCCACATGTTTTTCATTACTTTTAATTAATATTATACTTTTATATTTTATTAATATTTTAAAACTATAACTCCATTTTATTTTTATTCAATCTAAATATTTCATATATTTATCATAAATACATAAAAAAAAAATTAATATAAATTTTGTA